AACTCTATATTAAAAATAAAATATCTTTACGACAGTGAATTAATGAAATCTGATTGTATTTGTGGCATATCATAAAATTGTGGTGTACACTTAACCAATAGAATAGATAATTATTAAACAAAAAGCAGAGAGATTTGGCATGCGAAATCCTCATAAAATATTTAATTAATTACTTCCCCCCATAATTAAGCAAAAGAGATGATTAGTTAATTATAAATTAGGCATGCAACTTTTGGATTTAAATGAGAGAAAATCGAGACAAGATAGAGTTGAGATATGGCCCTAACATCACCAACTAGGGACCAGTTTGGTGCTTTATAATTAGATGGCCAATTGCCTTACGTGGCTTAAAAAGTTCCATATACAGTTTTTTTTGTATGTTAATGAAACATATACCATAATAATTCAAATACCAAACACGCCTTTATTATTGCTTTTTCTTCTTCTTCTCCTCTCACATACACACACTCTCTCTCAACACATATATATTTATACGCCAAGCACAATAGCACTTTGTAGTTTCTTGCTCTGTTATTACATAGGCAGCTATATACTCTTCTCTTCAAAGAAGAAATCTGCCAATTGGTGTGAGCTTTTTGAGGTTAGTGCTCTTTCACTATTTCTTTTTAATCGCGTTATACTTTTCTTTTGATTTGTATGCAATATATAAACAAATTGAGTTTTTTTCCGAAAATCTTGTGGAAGTAATTATTTTATTTGCCCTTATATAAGGAGAAAGTTTAGATTGATAATTTATGTGCTGCAACGGTATTTAAATGATGATGAATGTTATAAATTTACTATACAACTAGTTATAAATTTATTCAGAAAACGGTCTGTTTGTATATGCCTTTTACAAATGCCATTCAATTGAGTTTGGATAATTTAGATATAAATAAAGTTGATTGTCCAAGAAACTACTTTTGTAATATACAAGCATATATTGACTTGTTTTATGAGTGCATATATATATATATATATATATATGTATTTCTGTTGTTTGTTTGGTGAGAAACGTAGGGAAATGGAGGGAAAATAGAGTTCACTGTATTTTTTTTTCCTTAGATTGTGAAGTCTTACCCCCATGGGAGAGAAGCAAACGCCATATACTCTCTCTCTCTTTCTCTGTGAAAGGGAAGGGAAAAGAAACAAGGGAGATGAATCTTTTCTAGGGGTTAACACAACAAATAATTGGAGAGATAATGTCCAAAATAGGACCAAAAAAGCCTTGACGGTCTTCAGTTGAGGGTGAATGTGCATCCCACTTATTTGACTAGTGGCCTTATTTACTTATTTTTATTTTTTATTATTTTTTTGCTTATTCTTTTTTAACCAAGAAAATTAAATATTCAATTATTCACAATCTATTCTAACATGTCAGCATTACTAGGTTTGAATTGGATAAAATTTATGTTTAATAAATAAATAAAAATTGAGATATTTCAAGATGTAGCTATTTTTTATATAAGAAAAATATGAGAGAAAAGAAAATAATTAAAAAATATTTTTTTATTTGGAAACAAAAAAGGAAGACGAGGAGGAATATGCTTATTTTCCTTTCCAAAATTCTCTCAAAATAAAGAGAAAATAAAAAACATATAATAACGAAAAAAGTTAATTTTATTTATATCCAAATAAAGGGAAGGAAAATAACTCTTTTCTTTAAAATTTTCCTTTTTCCCTTAGATTCTCCTTTTATTTTCATCCTCTTTTTTTTTTTTTTTTTTTTTTTTTTTTTTTTTTTTTTTTTTAAAATTTTTCCTTTTTTTCCCTTAAGAATTCTCCTTTTATTTTCATCCTCTTTTTTTTTTTTTTTTTTTTTTTTTTTTTTTTTTTTTTTTTTTTTTTTTTTGTCTAATCCAAAAACAGTTAGAATAGAAGATTATTATTTCGGATTTAATTAAGAGTTATTTTTCAAATTTGATTTTTACATTTTTTTTATTTTTAAATTATTTTATAGAAATTATGGTTTGATGAAAATTCAAGTATTTAACTCTTATAAAAAATATGGTTTTTAAAAATTTCATATAATACTTTTAGAAATTCAAAGAATATTGTAATATTGTGGTCTTATCATTATATTCCAAAGTCTTTAGAACATTAATTCTAATTATTTGTATGTATTAATTGAATTCAATAATTAATAACTTTATAAAAAATTTATTATAATAATAAAATAACTCTTTTTGATATCTTTAGTATTTAGTAATCCGAAAATAAATTTATTGCATATATAACATCATATAAATTTAAATTTAAAATTTCATTGTTTTTCTTCTATTCATATTCACTTTACAAATTTGTAATGGTATAAGAAAAATTATTTTAAATTTTTTATTAATAAATTATTTATAATATTATTAATTTCATTGTTATTAACAAAGAAATAGGAATGTTTAATCTTTTGAAATAATATTAATTATGATATTATCAACTATTTAGTTAGTTATTGAAAAATTTGAAAAATGTACAATATTAGTACTGATATTAATATTAATATTAATATTAACTCAATTAATATTTAAATTGAAAATAACAAAAATAATTTTCTTTACCAACTAATTTCTATTCATATTCACTTTATAAATTTTTAATAATATAAGAAAAATAACTTTGAAAATTTTATTAATGATAATATTATTCAATAATACTATTAATTTTATTAATAATTTTTGGAATGATAATTTTATTAATCTTTAGAAAAAAAATAAATTTAAAATTTTTATTATTTGAAATAGATATTATTAATTATTTAACTTAATTACTGAAAAAATTGAAAAAAAGTTTAATATCATTAATAATATTAATATTAATGGTAGCTCAATTAATTTTTAAATTAAAAAATAACATAAAAATTATTTCCCTTGTTAACTTAAAGCATCTCCAATATTAATATGAATGACTATTATTTAATTGCTACATCAGAAAATGGAAAGATTTTTTAAAAAATATTTTCTAACGACAGTGTCTATTTGCTATGTTGAGCTGATATGAAAAAATTAAAATAGATATTATCAATCACATCTTCTATTTTTAGAATGCGAACATTTATTGCTTTACAGTGATTAGAAAAATAGGATATGAAAGCAGTGCATTGAAGAGAGATTTTTAAAATTCAATGTTTATAAATAAACATTCAGTCACATCACTACTTACATTTTCTATTCTATATGAATCATCAGCTACAATTCACACCTTAAAAATTATATTTTTTGGCTTTAATGTTTTGATATTATGATACACTAAAAAAAAAAAAGTGAAGAACATTTAATATTTTAATTTCAAACTAATTCGGTACATTATTATTCATAATTAAATCCATATTAATACCAAAATACAGTAAATCTTTTGAAATAATTTCCGTACATGTGGTCTTAGATATACAATTTAATAATAATAATATAAAATAAATCAAATTCAACTACATTTTCTCTTCTTTTCCAATGTTTTTATTAAAATTAAAAAAATTATTATATTAGTGACAATCTATTCTTTCGTGAAGTGCTTATATGTACTTAATTATATAAAAATAAACCACAATTATTAAGTATAAATAAATAAATTAGTGCTCGTGTGAGTGGCAATCTTTCTTGGTCGCTGAAAACAGATGCCTTTGCCAGGTAGAGATTACAAAGCACAGCACACCATTTCTTTTTTCTTTTTTCATCTTTTGGGTCTCAAAAGGTTTTTCTCTTACATTTAAATAATAATAATAATAATAATAAATTAGAAATCACCATCAAAAGAGATATGCCACACAAAAATCAGCACATTCATGGTCGTTATCCTCAGGGTCTTGTCTTGCAATTTGACACCAAGCCATCTCTCTTTCTTAGTGGACGCATATGATGCTTGTCACTGTAGATTTAGATTATTACGTGGGTTATTTTTTAATTATTTGGTTGGCTAACGGACATCTTGGACTATATCATTCGGAGTAATCTAAAACTATCCTGCATTATATAATATAGGATCACATTTTTTCTTTATTCATCTAACTAATAAAAATTTTTATTATTGAGAAGTCTCGAATCTAAAACTTTTCACTCCCACAAAAGCTAAACCTGATTATATTATATTTGCCACATGAAAATTTATTTTATTTCTAAGTTAACTAAGAAAATCCTAACAACTTTGTACTTGAAGATATATATATATATATATATATATTTGTACTTGAAGAATATATATAATATTATATATATATATTATTGTTATAATTGTATTGTACTAATTCAATAGCAACAATATATTATATCCTTCACATTCATACAATTATGAATTTAAATAAGCAAATTGCTATTTAAATATCCGATTTATTTACATATATTTATAGAGTTCCTATATTTAGAATTAATTAATTATGCATTATCTTAGTTTTATTTTCGTTACATTAATTAATTAATTAATTTATTTATTTGTTAATTGCTTGTGAGATGTGGTTGATATTATCTTAATGAATGCACGTGCTAATCATCCATTGATTTTGCCAAATACACTAAACAAGACATTATATTTTTAAAATTTAATTGCGAAGTCCTTTCATTTTATTTCCATTTCACTAGTTTAATCTTTTCTCTAACAATGAATCTAACAGAAGAATTAAAATCTGAAAATGGAAATTCTGACTACCGTATTTGAATATAATCGAGAAAGTAAATAGTAATTTTCTCATAGCAAATTCAGAATATCTTTAAGGAGGTAATGTAATTTGAAAATTATTGGTAAATTGTCAAGTAGAAAATTAAAATCACCACATAGCAAATGTAATTCATGCATTCATTAGGGTCCCCCATAACACACAAACATCACCATTTTTCTTCCACATCAAACGGTGAAGAAAGAAGGAAGAAAATTTGTGGACCTTAGGGATTGTGACAGCAGTAAATTGTCTAAATAGGTTTCGAAATCTTCCCCAAAAGAAAAAAAAAAAAATGAAAAAATATCATAGAGTAGCCCATCACCTTTAATATATATATATATATATAAAAATGATACTATATGATACATTACCCCCACATTTTGAAAGACACTAGACCATGATCTATCTTATCATATCTCTTCTCTTTTCATTTCATAGCCACTCCACACATCCCATGTCCTGTCCGTACATCAGTACACTTCTTCTTCTCCTTCTTCTTCTTCATGGTCTCCTTTCATTTCAGCGAACAATGTGAGTATCTATATATATTATATATACGGGGTCTTATTTCAAAATATCAGTTTTTGTTATTTTTTTAATAAAAAAAAGCAGTTTTGTCTTTGATGATTGAAGTAATCACGTGAGTTGATCTTCTGGCTTAGTTACTGAGCAATTTCAGTTTCATAGCTAAGAAAAGACAAAACCCAATTTAGTAAAAAACCTGAGAGCCAAAGGATTTTCTTTGCTCATTTTCAATATAAAGAAAGCTCTTTTACATGTAAGAAGTTGAAATTGGGATTTCAGACTTGCTTTTGGTTGGATTGGCTTCTGTAGAATCTCAGATTTTAAAACAAAAAACAAATTCAGACCTTTACATTATATATATATATATATACAGTAAATAGAAGCAAACAAAAAACAAAAAAACAAAAGAAAGGCACTTTCTTTACTAATCAGTGAAATAAATCAAAAACTGATCAGTTCAAGTAATGAAATACTCAAGAAAATCACTTTCTTGAAACTGATATTGAAATGCAAGCGGATGCTGTAATTCTTGTGGATAATGTTATTTGTAATCTCTCTTTTTTTTTTTTTTTTTTTTTTTTTTTTTTTTTTTTTTTTTTTTTTTTTTTGTGAATTATTATTGTTACACACCAACAAGGACCTGAAAAGCAGGAAACGTGTTGTCTAAATTCACTAGAAGCGAAACAAAAACAGAAAAACCAGAGAAACCCAGAAACAGAAACAGGTGGCCTAGTAGCTTCTTAGCTTCTTTACACAGTCTTTTCTCTTTTTCTTTCTTTCTCCCTGAGTGTGTTTATGTGTGCAAGCCAATCTTTAATTTAATGCTAAAATAAAAACATAAGACTGCAAAGAAACACGAAATCCGAGGATATTATTGTATGCCTTATAGTAAAGTGAGTACAGCTGAGTAATCGCTTTCTTTCTCTTTTTAATTTATTTTTTTCTTTTGTTTCTGCCATGGATGATAGATAGAAGGTATTGTAGCTGTTGTTGTAGTTGTGCCTATTACTATCACTACAATAGTCTACTACTAGTAGTATCAATCAGGCTGTTTGGTTGGTTGGTTGGTTGGATGTTTCATTTTCTACTTTACCTTGCAGTTGTAAATGTCACCATTAATAACTTTCTAGAAACTCTCAACAGGAAGCCTAAAATCTCAAACTCAACCACTGCATATATATGTATTATGTATATATATAATTAAAGGGCTAAATTAAATCCTATTGTTTAATTTCTTTCCTTCTTCTTTATAGTTTCAAGTTGAAGTTTAGCTAATGTTTTTGAATTTCCTCAAGCGGGTTGGAGATTTTTTTAATCATTTTAGTCCATTTTCATTTTGCTGAATTTGGTTTTCTTTTTCTTTCTTTCTTTTTTTTTTTTTTACTTTTTTTGCAATTTAGTAATTATCAGCTTGAATTTCTTGAATTTTGGTTTGCACTGTGTAACATTTTATGCATAAATATTATATATATTTTTCATTGGTTTAACCAATTTCGGGTTTCTATAATCCTTATGAGACTTTGCCTAATTTAGTTAGCAAAATCAATAACTTTGCCTTTTCCTTTATTTTTTTTGTTTTAACAGATAGAGAGAGATACTGTTGGTTGCTGCTGTATTATCATGGCACACAAAAGAGAGCAATACATGCAGTAACAGTTGGCTGCCTGAACCACAAACACTATCTTTCTTCTTGAACCCTGGGCCTCTCTAAGCCAAGCCGCTCGGTTTTGTCGCTCGTGCGCTTAGCAAAAGAAAAAAGAAAGAAAATTCTTGACTCTCTTCTTTGTTTCCTCTCCTTTCCCTACTCTTCTTCTTCTCCTCCTTCAACAGCCCAGATCTCGAGAACCCTTTTCACCATTGGTGATTTGACATTTGTTACATTCATTTATTGGTTGATTAGTTATATATGCAACTTTCCTTTCTCCACAATTTTCTCCCTCTTATAAAAGTTGGCAATTGGGTTCATTGCACAGCACTTGATAAAAGGAAGTCTTATTCTTATATGTGCTTGTAAAGAAGTGAGTTGTTAGGGAAGGCACAATTACAGGAGAGTCGGTGATAGAAAGAAAGTGTCTTTCCTTTGCATGGAAACCAAGGTACTAGAAGCTTTGGTCTCTGTTTCCTTCATTTGATTATTGTTTTTAGGTGGGTTTATTAAAACAAATAATTATTTAAATATAATATATATTTGTGTTGGGATCTATATTATATTTGATGGTTCAGAACTTGCTTAACCATATCTTGTCAATTTGTCATTGGGGGTGGTTGAGTTTAGAGTTGGTTCCTCGTACTTGCCCTTGTTTTTGAATTCCTAGTATATTCATCCGAGTTTATATCTGCTAATTGTATTATTTTACATACACCATACAGAGCAAAACTCGGTCCGTCAATTGTGGCGCTGTTGGGTTTATATAGAGAGAGGGTGGTTGGTCTCTTGATTTTGTTAACTAAAGAGAGTGTTTTAGGACAATGGTTTGTTGTTTTGAATATTGGTCTTAAGTAGTTCAAGACATGCTGAATTCTGATAAAGGAGAGGATGAATTGTTCTTTGATTCTGCTGATTGCTTGCCGCTTGAAGAATCCATTGTTACAAAAGAAGAAAACTTAAGGTTTGATAATTTAGAGTATCAAATTTGGTTGAATGAGCCTCAAAGTGTTAAAGAGAGACGCAAAAATTTCTTCTGTGAAATGGGTATGGCTGATTTAGCTTCTAAGAGTAATGATAATGAGATTATTGGCTTGGAGAGGATTAGCAAATCTAGTGGGGCAGTATCAAGTTCTCCAGTTTTGTGTACATATGCGGAAGAGAGGAATTTGGTTTTTTGTGGCAGAGAAACCAATTGTGAAGCCAATTCTATGATTGATGAAATGGAGGAAAACCTGTTTGATAAACCAAATTTAACTTTTGAAAATGAGAATTCTGGATTTTTGCCTTCTGCAATCAAATGCGAGGATAGTGATGCAGAGGAATGTAAAAGTTTTGATGGGGGAAAGGAAAAAATGAAGAGGTGGTGGAAATTTTTTGTACATAAGAGAAGGCAAAGAGAAGTTACATGTTTATCGACTGGATCGAAGTCAAATCCTGAGGCAACCAAAACTAATAGAGTAATAGTGAAGCAGAACAAGAAAAGATGTATGGAACTTACAGGAGTCTTTATGGGACAAAAGATTCAAGCTCATAAAGGATTTATTTGGGCAATGAAGTTTAGTCCAGATGGTCAATATCTAGCAACCGGTGGTGAAGATGGGATTGTGCGCATTTGGCGTGTTACAACAGTAGATGCCTCTTGCAAGTCATTTGCTTATGAACGAAATATTGGTTGCAATTTAAAAGAAGGAAAGCCCAGTTTCAGTAGTAAAAAGGTCAGTCATGCATCAGTTGTCATCCCTGAGAAGATTTTTCAGATTGAAGACTCACCAGTGCATGAATTTTATGGACATGCCAGAGATGTTTTAGATTTGGCATGGTCTAGTTCCAATGTGAGTCACTCCTTCAGAAACCTTTTCACATATTTGTCATATTAATGGAACTGTGGGTTATTTATAAAGTTAAAGTGAAAATTTTTGTTGCAGTGTCTTCTTTCTTCTTCCAAGGATAAAACTGTTCGTCTATGGCAAGTGGGTTCCAATCACTGTCTGAATGTTTTTCACCATACTAATTATGGTAAATATGAGAAGGCATTCTTTACTTTATTTCAATTGAGCAAATTATCCCATATGTTTTTGTTCATTTCTCTTGTCTTTTTATTATGTGACTTATAGGCTGAAATTTCTGTTTCTTCAAATTGCAACAGTGACATGCATTCAATTCAATCCAACTGATGAAACCCATTTCATCAGTGGCTCAATCGATGGAAAAGTTCGAATATGGGGAGTGTTCGAGGGGCGAGTTGTAAATTGGGTTGATGCACGAGATGTAACATCTGCTATATGTTACCAGCCAGATGGAAAAGTATGATTCTGTCTCATGAAACCTTTCACACGAAGTTATTCTTATTCTGAAGTGAACCAATAGTTTTCCATTTTGTTATGCTGACTGCATTGTACTCTTCCATCCTTGCAGGGGTTTGTAGTTGGTTCCATTACAGGCACTTGCCGCTTTTATGAAGCATCAGGTACATACTTCTTGTACTTTGTTAATGAAATTTATTGAATTCTTTTTCCACGGAGAGGAGTACCTAATGGTATATGTTTTGGTACAGACAATGACATCCAGCTTGAAGCGCAGATACATGTTCAAGGTAGAAAGAAAATGTTAGGCAACCGAATTACTGGGATACAGGTTTACACTTGCTCTTCGTTATTAAGAAAGTTGAACTTAGCATAACTTGTTGATCATTAACATTTGGTGTCAACCTGTTTTTGCAGTTTTCCAAGGAAAGATCTCAAAGAGTTATGATCTCTTCTGAAGATTCCAGACTTCGTATATTCGATGGAGTTGATATCGTCCATAAATATAAAGGTAAAATTTATACTCTTATATAATATTTAGATCAGTTCATAATCTAAAAATTATATGGATAGGTTTAATGAAGGAGGATTTTACCAATAGATTTGAAAGCATCAATTGAACTTATTTGTGTGCTTTTATTCTACATATGCATTATAGCATCACGACTTTTCACCGGAAAATTTTTTTAATCCCATACCATCTTTTCTCGAGTTATTTTACTTTCAAGAAACTGCAATTTTTCTGTTTTTGCATTGGCAATAACTTTGTCCTCCATACATGGAGTACTTTTTCATGCTACATCTTTCTGAATCGGAATTGAATTTGTTTGTTTCTATTGTACTTTAAGTACTACTTTCCACTTTCTGTCATCTAATTTGTAAAACTGAGGTGCCCATTCTATGACAATTCTTAACAACCTACCCTCCATTTTTGTGCCTTGTTTAAGGAATATAATCCTGATTGCTCTGACGGCGTGATTTGTTCATATTGAATAAGTGGTTTAAGTCATCTGTTTGTACAGAACAGAATTGGTATGTTTTATCCTAAAGTCCAGACCGTTTAGTCGGTGGCTTTTCTTTCATATTTTTCTATTTTTTCCCTGTGTTTTTTTTGATCTAGCTTGCTATGTGATGATTGTGGAATCTCATAGCTGGTTTGATGCTTGTCTCTTGGTACTTCGAATTGGAACCGTTGACAGACCATAATCTTTGATCAAATATGTCCTTGTCTTTTTATATTAAATCTTTAGAAAGCCTTCCAAAGTATATTTTGATGAGACTCACTTTATATTGCAATTTTAAAATATGAATAATATCATTAGAATCAATCTTTGAATTTCTTGGAAGCTACTAGTTTTTGGTTTCAATTACATTCTCATTTTTCTTTTGCTCCTCTTTCTCTCTGGCATACAAACTCACTTTCCTTTCTCTTTCCCCTTGTCCTGTCTCGGCTGTAGAAGCTGTATCTTCCCCATAAATCAAGTCACTTTCTTCTCTGGGATTGTTTTTTCTTGGTCTTTCACTATTATCCATATCCATACTTACGCAGTTACTTAACTCATTTTTTAGCACATTTTTTATTGTAATACTCACATGTCTATCACCTTTAGCTGGTACAGCTGTATTTACATTATTTAAATTTTATACGTACATTGCATCTAACTACCATAACTATATCAACATTTGTTTACTCTCTTTCTTTTCCAATACCTTCTCCAGCTATATCCATGGATGAATTCTTATTTACTGTTATGAAAGGATCTCTTATTTTTGATAATCTGATTTATATTCTTTATGCCATGCACTTGACCAGTACAATGAATCTAAACTCTTTTGCATAACTTGTGAAGTCTTTTCTTAAAATTATCGCATTCCCACACATCTAACTGATTCCATATAGAATTATTATTGATTATTTAATCATGTGATGCAATTATACGAAAGAGCTATTTAATTATGTTGTAGGTCTACCAAAGTCAGGAAGTCAAATGTCGGCTTCATTTACTTCAACTGGGAGACATATAATATCAGTCGGAGAAGACTGTCGCGTTTATGTCTGGAATTATGATGCATTTTGCACCCCATCATCTAAACACACAAAATCAGTAACATCATGTGAGCATTTCTTCTCCGAAGGTGTGTCCATTGCCGTGCCTTGGTCAGGCATGCAGACAGAACTAAAAGGCTTCAATAGTGGTAATATTGCGACTGGGGTGCAGCAAGAGGTGGAAGGTGCTTCCCGGAGGAGAGATTCAGATCGGTTTTCTCTTGGAAATTGGTTGTTTATGGATGGTGGATGTAGAGGCAGCTCTGCAACATGGCCTGAAGAGAAACTTCCTCGTTGGGATGTAACAACAATTTCAGATGAGAACTATCAGCAAAAGCTAAGAAACAGTAATGACCATATGGCCTTATCGGACGCGTGGGGACTCGTGATGGTTGGAGCAGGATGGGATGGAACTATTAGGACTTTCCACAACTATGGATTGCCTGTAAGGATCTAGCTAAGTAAATAGTAGTAAAACTTAACCAAGCCAATCATGGTGGCCTTGCTAATGAAGGGGACTTGACTTGAAGATAAATCTCATGTCAACAGAAATTGCAATGCCCATCGATTTCGAGTTGCCTTATGAATTATACATGGTCATCTTCTTTGCATACAGACTCATTGGAAGCATAAGAAGGTAGCTTGACATTAATTTAGCAGTATCTCTGATAAACTGCCATATTTAGCTTTTCTCTTCATTGTTCTGTCACATTTGCTTAAAAATGTGTAGTAGAAAGAGTCTTTTGACATGTTCTGTAAGTTGGTATATCATGTTTTAACTTCTTTCCATGTCATTAGACTTTATGAAAGTCATGCTTGTGAGCCTGGCGCACAAATTTTCTTTTGCCTTCTGTGAATAATATATTTTACATATAGTATAATATAATGCCTCAAATGGTGAGTTCTTGCAATATAGTGTACCTTTTCTTCCCCCTTTTCATTCCTTATGAGGGTATGTTATTTTAATTATATTTATATATTTTTTAATTAATTTATGTTAATAATGGTTAATATAAAAGAAATGATGCATAAAAACAAGGTTTTGAGACTAGGACCAATAATCAATTTAGTGAATGCAGAAGGTCAAAGGTTAATAGGTAAATTGGGTTTGAATCGTAATTTGACTAAATAAGAATTAAACATTATATAGAATAACTTAAATTAATGTTTTATTAAAATCATAAATGTGAATGTAAAATTTATTAAATAAAAAATATTATAGTAATTACATTTCACTATTAATAATTTTAGCAAATAATTGAAAATGAATATTATATTATAATATTTTGAATAAAATAGACAACCAAAAATTTTAAATATTATTTAGTACTGATTTTTAATAGATCTCACTGTAGACACCTAAATTTTATTTAAATTAATTTAATTATTTAATTAGCTAATTAAATTATTAATTAGTTAAATTAAATAATATATTTTGATGACCAATCAAATATTTAAGTGGTTATTAAAATAAAATTATTGGATAGATGCTACATTTTATAAATAATATAGTAAAATCCAATATAAATTCTTCAAGTGGACCAATTAAATTAAATACCTAGCGAATAAATCAAGCTTTTGCATAGGATAAGTCACACCGCAGCGGCCAGTGAAAGCATGCTAAGTGAACTAATCAAATTACATACTTGAAAGTGAGACTTCCTCAAATCTTTATAAATAGGCGGCCTCTCTTCACATATAGGGAGACATTTATAAGAGAAAAAAACAGAAAAGAAGCCTCGAAGCTCTATCGAACTCAAGACTACAAAATGTCTCTTTCGAGTCCAAAGAATTAAAGTTCTTTCAACTTCAATTCAAGATCAAGTGTATTCAACCCTTCAAATTTTCAAAGTTTATTCTACATCAAGTCTTTTCGACCATTGAATCTTATTCACAAATCTCGTTCTACATTGATCTAAGATCAAGTCGTTTCAATTCTTGAATTGTGTTCGCAACAACAAAGAGAAGAATTAGAGGATAATCTTTTTTGTAATAGGAGATTCCACGCATAAAGATTGTATCCACTTTTTTCTTTCTAAATACAATTTGTATTTTTATCGTATTATTATTTCTTAATTTTCAGGAATAAATTTTATACATATCGATTTCTGGCACTCCCAATGGGACATTCTCTCTCTCTCTCTCTCTCATCTATTCACTTTGCAAATTTCGAAGTTTCGATAAATCATCTAAAAGAGTCAATGGCACCAAAGAAGATCATTGTCACCTCAAAGGCGGTATAAAGTGATGCTTTGAATCCGCTCAATTTGAGATCTACTACTGATTCAAGTCCTGATGCAGATATCAAGAAGAAATTCGTTATTGAAATTTAGGCGAAGACGACTGTAACATCCTTTCCCGGTCCACCCATTAACCCAAATGAACCGAGCCGAGACGCTACAATCTGGTTGAACCTATGTCCTGTCATGCTGATTTCATCCTGTATGCTAAATATTATGTCATGTTACATAAAACTACTAGGCAAACATTCACTCCCCAATTTTAAATCCGAACTGTCCAACATCTCCAATATCATCAGAACACAATATAACACTTTCTCAACATTGGATGGCTAGGATTGAGTCGATCTAATCTAACGGCTATAAATATTCTCCCAATTAAATTCCTTCAAAATATTATTTAACACAATAAAATCCTCAAATTTACTCCATAAAAATAATTCCTCTAATTTCTTTAATTAATATAACACCATTTCAAATTTACTCCATACAAATATTGCCTCTAATTCCTTAATTAATATCACACCTTAATTAACTATTCACTAATTTTCTAAATTCTCCAAAAATATTCATTACTTACTTTCTACCGATAAAAATCATGTATATATACTCCAAAAATATTAAATAAAATATAACACATAGATAGTAATTTTTCTGGACCAAAATAATATTTATTCCCGGACCGATGATACTATTCACAAACCGGTAACTTACTATTTCTGGTGGTACTATTCACACACTGGTAAACTTACTATTTCAGACACAGAAAAATTGGGCGTGACAACGACTCATCTACTTCAACAAGTTGTTGCTTCATCAATTCTGGTGGAGTTTGTTGATAAAAGCGCTTCCCAAAAGGGTTCAACGACTTCAATAACAAAATCTTCTGACATCGTGTTTGTTATGATGATTGAAACTACATCAATAAAAGAAGAATTAGATGCTTTGAAACTGCAACTGGAATCATGCTCTTCATGAGAAGATAGTCAAATTGCATTCCTCATGAACAAGTTAGAAAGCATGACTGGAAAAAGTCAGATGATTGATAAGGATGAATCTGCATCAGGTGGGTTTACACCATTAAAAGTGACGCCATCAAAGTGACCCCAGAAAAAGCTGTCAAGCTTACTGCCAATGGCTCGATCTCAACTATTCAACTAAAGGAGCTGATTAAAGAAGCTCTTAAAGATCATTTGGAGATGACGATGCGACCTTCTTTTACCTATTCAAAGTCATACACTTTGAGGATTGACATGATGAAGATGCCATCAAATTATCAATCTCCCAAGTTTCAACAATTTGATGGAAGGGCAATCCAAGACCGCATGTAGCTCACTTTGTGGAAACTTGCAATAATGCTAGCGTGGATGGCTATCTTCCCATCAAATAATTTATTCGGTTCTTGAAAGGGAACACCTTTGATTGGTACGCTGATCTCAATCATGGTTCTATAGATAGTTGGAAACAACTCAATGGAGAATTCCTCAATCACTTCTACAGCACCAAACCTATAGTTATTATCATTGAACTCACTGTTATTCGTTAATGGAATGAAGAATCTATTATTGACTACATCGAAAATTGGAGAAGTCTTAGTTTGAATTGAGAGGATCGACTTTCAGAATTCTCAGCAATTAATATGTGCATTAATGGCAAGCATTGGGGCTTGCGCTACATCCTGCAAAGGGATCAACCCTCATACTTTTGAAGAATTGGCATCTCGAGCTCATGACATGTAGCTTAGTAGTTTTTGATCATGGAAATCAAAACATCCCTAGTCAAGAGCTAAAAAGGGAAAAGATAAGCTAGATGTGCGAAAATTTGCTAAAATATCCACCAAGTCAAAAGGTGAGTAGTCCATGGCTGTAACGAATATGCCAATCAAGTTACAACCTAGGACTGAGAAAAAGCAGCATGTGAATGCCACTCCTTCAGTGAATAGAGAGGGAAAAGACTACCTTGAAGGAGATGCAAGATAAGAGCTACCATTTTTCTGATTTTGAAGTTTCAAGCATGTTGGATGAACTGTTTAAAGCTAAACTCATTCAATTGTCGGAAATGAAGCGTCCAAAGGAAGCAAAGTTTTTTCTTAGTCTAGATGAACTTATTTGGATTTAAGAGGTTTCGCCTCCTGGTTATCATCTTGTTTTCGATGACATTTTTTGTATTCTTAATGAATTCCATTTCATTTCTCAAAAATATCAATTGTATAAACGTATTTGTTAATTATGTCAATAATAACAAAATGCACCATACACTAAAAATCGAAAGGTACAAGTCATAAAATTAAATTAATATAGAGATTGGGCAAATAATGAACTCATGTACATTATCAAATGATAACAATAATAGGGCACGTGATATTCGTGCAATTTTAAATATCTCATTGAGCATTCATGAGATGGAGGATAGGATTATATGACATTATGACACGAAAAGGAGGTATTCGGTAAAATCGGGGTACTATGTTTGCTAGCTCTGAAAAGGGGAGGAGAAAGGTTAGAGGGTGACATTTGGAGGAGAGTTTGGGGTTTAGGAGTTCCACTGAAAAATGCAAGAGTTTAAGGGGTATCCTACCAACTAGGGTGAAGCTTTAAAGGGGTGCGAATTGATACTAGGTGTTGTTTATGCAGTGGTGGCGAGGACATTTTGCATCTTTTCCTCAAGTGTAATAAGGTTGGAGAAGTATGTGCTAGTGGGTTAGGGATACAACTTACACGAAGTCTTTTAATCTATTCTTTATGCAAATGGTGCAACAAATGGAGCTATGGGATGCAGTTTTATGGTGCATATGGGCTGCAAGGAATGCTTGCATTTGGCGAGGAACAGAATGAAGATCAAAAGATATCATATTCAAAGCTTGCCAGATGGTCCAAGAATGGCTCGCTATGATGGCACTTCTGCAATGCAGGGGATAGCAAGCTCAACAAGACGAATTCGACATGTTAGTATGCTTGATGGACAGTCCAGGCTAGGGAATGGGATTTTGACGTGGGGTAACCTCCATACATGGGGATGGCAGGCTTTTTTCAATGGTGCAATTTTCTCTGAGCTTCATTATGGTGGTTATGGATCTATCTTCCAAGATGTAGAAGGAGGGTATTTGCAAGCCTTCCCTATTCTCTTCGATTAGTAATCAGACTCTCTTCTTATAGAGGCTCTTGTGCTAAGGTAGCGTTTGGAGTGGCTAGAATTAAATTTAGCTTCGCCAGGATATATTTACATGGATTTTCAAAACTTATTACATGCTTTAGTTGATAAGAGTGTGGATTTGTTTGAAATTGGGACTGTTATTGGGGATTTTAAACATTTTTTAGCTCTTAGGCCTAATATTGCTATCGGGTAGGTTAGAATGCAAGTGAATAGGATGGTTCATTCTCTTGCTAGAGCCTAAAAGTTGTGAGGTTTTATGATTATTATGGTTCATGACTAAGTGGATAAGGGTGAGCAAACTTATTGACCAAAAATCGAACGAAAAATCAAATAGACTCATTTTGATTCTGTTCGGTAGCTAAACAAAAAGAGGTTTGGTTGTCGGTTTATTCCGTTTGAATCGAACTTATATTTCAATTTCATAGCAATTTGTCGGCTAGGATTCAAATTGAACCGAAATGGCAAAACCAATTAAAATTAACTGAATCGACTAGTTCGATTTGGTTCAGATGGCAATTTTGATTCGATTCGATCCGTTGACAAAAAACTTCAATTTGTATATTTTGATCTTGATTCGGTTTGAAACGAACCCACTGCTTGCTCACCCCTATAAGTGGACGTCTATCAATAAACAGTAAAATTTATGATGAATACTATAAAATACAAACAATAAATTAATTATGTTTTATGGTAATATATCAATTCATCAAAATAATAATTATAGTTATTTCATAAGAAAAAAATTATTTTGTTTTTGAGCAACTTAACTTTGGTTGTCGTGGACCACAATTTATTCTGTTCAAAAAAAAATTTCTTTTTCCTTACTAAATTAATTTTTAACTGCTATCACTTCAATTCAGTAAGAAATTTGTATCTCCCTTGCTTGATGATTAAGTATTTTTAATTTTCTTATTATTTTTTATCTTATATTCTAAATTTGTTTAACTTGAAAGAAAATAATATTTATAAAATTAGAAAAAAAACTAGAATTATATATTTCTGTTGCATATATTACTTTCTTTATTGCATGGGTAATACTGCCAATACATCCAAAGTGATTAGTATTATCAATTCAAATCATCTTCTCATTTCTTTTTTTTACCTAACAGTAAAAAAATAATTTATTATTATTATTTCTTATATTTGTATATAGATATTGATTTGGGGTTAAGGGCAATGGTTGAAGATTGAGTAATGACTTGATTTTCTTTTTGAGCATCTCTTAGGGTGTTAAGAATCTGCATTTATAAATTAGGGACTGAATGATTAGGTTTAAAGATGAGGTTAAAGTTTATTTTGAGACCATTTTCATTATATAAAAATCAATTAAGTACATAAGAAATAGCATTACAAGTAACTTATAAGGCAAATTCTAATGCAAATTAATCAATTGTATTTATTTTAATCTAAACAAAAATTTATGTGTTAATATTATATAAAAAAAAAAATAAAGAGTGTAAAAAATGAATATATAACAAGTATAATCAATCAATGAACAATACATGTAATAAAAAAGACTAGTTAATATAAATGTTTGAACAAATGTAAATAAATTTGTCTTAAGACAAACGTAAAAAATTATAATAAATTAAATACAACTTAGGCTCCATTTATTTCCATAAAATAATTTGTAGGAAAATAACTTCCTGAAAAATATTTTCATAGAAAATATAGAAAATATTTTTCTCGAAAAATATTTTGCAAATGACTTATTTTCCATTGTTTGGCTGTAATATTGAAAATTAGTTAAAAATATTAAAGTCTTTATCTCATAAGACCATAAAAATACTAATAATAATAGAAATTTTATAATTTAAATATTTTATTGTTAAATATGAAAAGAATGCAAAAAAAAAATATATAAATTATGAAAGCCGTCAGTGGCCGGATGATTATTAATAAATTAAAAAACATGGATTTATAAAGTTTGTCAATGTCCGGAAAATGTTTTACTCTAGAAAATGAGAAGTTGTTTCCTTAAAAAATAACTTAACTTTCCTTTGACCAGAAAAATATTTTCCGTTGACTTATTTTCGTGAGCGTTCCAAACAACGGAAAATTGTGAAAAATATTTTCCTGCAAGTTATTTTACGAAAACAAACAGAGCCTTAAATGATAAATATTTATGTTATGCTATTAATAAACATGACATTAGTAAAGTTATATGCTCTATATTTTTTTTTTGGCTTTGTCAAACAAATTATAATTATCTTTGTTATATTTTTCATATTTCTGTATCATTTATACTATAAATTAAAATAACAAAATAACAGATAATTTTTAATATGCTAATTATCATTATTTGTGCTTATAATTTTTTTAAAAATACATTAGTTTAATTATTTTTCCTAACAAGTTTTATTCTTTATTGATCTTTTAAAGTTTCAATTATTATAATTTACTTAACACTGATGGGAGTGTTCAGGGAACTCATGGTGGTCCTGCTGCTTGTGGAGGAGACTGCCGTGACCACCCAGGGAAATGGCTCAAGGGTTTTGCTGCGGGTCTGGGCAATTGTGAGATTATGGTTGCTGAATTATGGGGGGTTTACTTAGCCTTATTTTTGGCTTGGAAGGAAGGTTGGCGTAGGGTGGAAATTCAGGTTGACTCTTTAACTGTGGTTAAGATGCAATCTTCTGCAGGAACGACTGTAGCTCGGCTTGATAACCTGCTGCATGCATGTTTGGAGCTGATGGCTAAGCCTTGGCAGTTGGCAGGTTTGGATTATACATATCCTTCGAGAGGCCAACTTTGTGGCAGATTCTATAGCAAAGAATGCAGTTTGTGGTCCTCGTGGCTTGTGTTTGTTGGAGTCTCCTTCTGCTTCTGTTAGGGACTTTCTCGAGGCTGATATGATTGCGGTTGTTTGGCCCCGTCATTATTAATTTGTTTTGGGTTTAATAATACCTTTATTTCTTTATAATGATTGACTATTTATATTTTAACTCAAGTAATAATCTAAAAAAAATTATATGCTTTGAAATTGAACAGTTGCTATTAAAAAATAAATAAATTATTTATTTGAAAAATAAAAAACAAAAAAAAATAATTACACGAAACCTTCCACCGATTTCATGTTGTGGAAAACCCATAATTTGTTGTAACTTTATTAATTACTCTTATGTAATAAATGCCATTAAATAAAACAAAAAGAAACTTTACTTCTTCTTTTTTTAATACAACTGTAAATACAATTGCTTTTCTTTATTAAATATCAAATTTATTAGTATATTATTAATTAGTCTATATAGTGGTTAATTATTATAAATTCATTAAATAAAAGATTTCTTTACTTGGATTAAAAATTATTGTTCTTAAATAATTAGATTTGAGGGTGTTTTAAGAAATTCAATGGAATAATGTGAAATTCAATGGAATTGTAAATTTTAAGTTGTGTCAAACCAAACGGTGGAACTTATTTCTAAATGATTTTCAAATAGAATCTATTTCAAATGAATTTCACAAGCCAAACGGAATTAAACAAAACTATTATTCTTGTATTTTTATTTTTATTTAAAAAATATAAATTCAAATAATTATAAAAAATAAAAATAAAAAATCTGGTAGAATAAAACAGCATCAATCGAGTCGATATTTTGAAAACCTCGATTATAACCCTTTCCGTTGCGGTGATAGAGCAGGTAAATAATAGGAAAAATAATTATTTCGTCCTTGAGGTTTGCCATAATTATTTAAGTAGTTTTTGATATTTATATAAATATTTATAATATCCATGAGATTTACTTTCGTCTTATTAATTGGTCATTTCGTCTAAAAAACACACTTTTCAGTTAATTTTGAGAAGAAAAGACGAAATTATTCTTTATAAGTTTTCATTATTTCGTCCCTGAGATTTCCCATAATTATTTAAGTAGTCACTGACATTTACATAAATATTTATTATATCCCTGAGATTCACTTCCGTCATATTATTTGATCCTTCTGTCCAAAAAACACATATTTTTCTATTAATTTTTAATAGAAGACCAAACTATCCTAAATACTCTAATTAACATATCCTCCTTTTCAATTCATTTGCTTTCCTTCTCACTCGCTCACAAAAATGGTATAAACAAATTCCATAGAGTTCAAAGCAGAATGAACAACATCTACTTGAGCATCAAACATGTTTATGTACTTAATCTTTATATTTGCATCCAATGCATTACTTTGCTCAATAACCTCAGCAATTAATCCCAGAAACAGCAACCATATGCAAAATCTGCCAAAAAGAAGACCAATATAGCAAAGCAAAAATTTACACGGTACATTTAGCTTACTCTTGTTCACTTGAAACCCCATGTAAATTTTAAATTATAAATTGTAAACTAAATTTAATGTAATCACCTAGTTTGATTTAAACTCAAAATTGAACAAGCAGATTAAAAATTTAGAAATTTACCCAAAATTTAGTTTAAAATTTCTAAATTTTGGGTAAATTTAGAGGCTTTAAGGTAGTTGAAAGGGAGGTCATTCTATTAAAAATTAACAGAAAAATGTTTGTGTTTTGGACGGAAGGATCAAATAATATAACGAAAGTGAACCTCAAGAATGTTATAAATATTTATATAAATATCAGGGACTACTTAAATAATTTTGGCAAACCTCAGGGACGAAATAATGAAAACTTATAAAAGATAATTTCGTTTTTTCCTCTCAAACTTAACGAAAAAAGTGTGTTTTTTAAACGAAAAGACCAATTAATAAGATAGAAGTAAACCTCAATGATATTGTAAATATTTATATAAATATTATAGATTATTTAAATAATTATGATATACTTCATGGACGAAATAATTATTTTCCCTAAATAATATTAGGGGTTCGTTTTGTATTCGGTTTTGGGTCTCTTTAAAGATTAGATGCTTTTGAGTTCTCCATAAGTTTTCTTTAAAGCCATCACTGTTTTGCTTCCTCTCACCGCCCATTCTCTGTTACCTTGGAGCTTAATTTCTCTGTACAAAGAAACGCAATATACTGCAGTATAACGCTCCGTTTCATCAATCTCTCACTAATCCTCTCTAACATAGTTTGCATGTGAGCATAAGCTGGTGACAAGCTTGAAACTTGAGTTTTTGCAGAAGGATTCCGGTCTTTGATGCTGTTGTAATAAAGGTATTAGCAGCTCACGTTTATGTACATTGCGAAATTACTATTCACCTTATGTGCATTGGGGACTGAGTTAATCAAATCAATTTGGGACTGGGGTTTAAATTGTTGTGTACTATTCGGCTTCTAGAGATGAGCTTTGCATTTCTTGTTTCCAAATATAGAAAGGGAAGATTACAATAAATTGTTGTGATCTTTCTATAATTTGCCACTGTGATAACAGTGTTTGAAGTTAGAGAAAATATAAGTTCAAATTATCATTTTAATTTTGTTTAGTTAGGGTGAGATGATTGATCTTACAATTATATCTTAATTATTTATCTAATTTAAAATATGTAAACGAAATCTGAACAGTTTGATAATTTTATGCCAGGTTTGATAGGTTATACTTGGTTTCAGGCATAAAGTTGCTTGTGTTCAGAATTGTTGCCATACCTAGAGAGTTGAGTTAATTCAGTATTGAATCTCAATTTTTCCATTCGGTTTTCCAAAACCCTTTTTAAGATTGTCTACTAAACAATTGTAACATTGATCAAGTTTATTTCTTGGATAAAATTAAATATCACAAGTCACATAGCAATTGTAAAGTTTCAGTTTCTAGTCAGATTTAATGTCAGTAACAGATCAATTTGAATTCGGGTTCTGCCTGTTTGTCCATCTTTCACCTATTTCTATGTGCCTTTTTGTTCGATAACTAAAGAACTCATATTTAGAATGTCTTTGTTGTGATTCACAGTTGCCTAGTTTGTTTAGCTGGCTACTGCGCTATCTTGCTGACAAACTATGTCACTTGAGTTATTTTGGGGTTCAATCATCATTATTTTTTTATTCTTGATTATTTGCAAATAACTTTAATGTGTTGTTCAGTCTTAAGATATTTGAAACCATAATAAAAGCTATGAACTTGCAGCATGAATTTATGGGTTTGAATTTTATGTTTCAAGCAATATGTTTCTGATTAATGTGTTACACTTTTTGTTTTTTTGGTTGTAGATGAGTGTTTGTCAGACGTGTGGGGATAAAGGTGACGTGAAGTGTCTTGTATACTGTGCCAAGTGTCGGGTTTCCTGCCAGCATAGGTATGGAGAATTACTGGATCATGTTTGTTCACTTAGAATCAGTTATTTCTATTTGATGTCTGGTAACCATTTGATATATATATATATATATATAACACTCTGTATGAGACAAGACAAATTATTTATTGCTTGTATTACTTGGATCTGTTTTGTTTTTTCAAGTACTTGAATATGTATAACAACTCTATTTTACTTGTTCAATTTCTGCGTTCACTTTTTGGGCAATGAATTGTGATATTTATGTTCATTTATTTATTTCTTTGTGCTTTTAGCTATTGTCTGAACATTTTCCCAATAAAAGATGATAAAAATGCCATTTCTACATGTGAGGAATGTTGTCAAAGAAACACTAAGCCTAGTCCTACTCCAATTAGAAGCACACGCATTAGTCATGCTGTTGAAACGAGGTTGAATAGGATTAAGATGCGAAAGCAGACTGTTTCCTCCAAAGTAATTCCACAGACTTACAGAGACGTAGATAGGTTGAGTAACATAAAGCCTACTGGTGATTGTTCTTGCCAGAAAGAGGAGATGGAATGGATACCTTCCTTTTCTCATAGCGCCAGAAATGAAGAGCTCAAAAAACCAAAAAGGAGATTGAAGCTTGAAGATGGCAGTTCTGATGAGGAGTCTGAACCTGTTAAAGGCAGTGAAGTTGAACATTCTCAATTAGAACCTGTTGTCAGTTTTTATCCGCCGAACATATTGAACAAAATATCATATTCAGATGCCAAAGAATATATCCCTTCACAACCAATTAATGATCCAATTTGGAGGTAGAACCCTCTCTTTGGTTGTTTTATGCTTTAGTATCAGCTTCTACAAACTACATAAATACATGGAAGTCAGTTTTTGCCCCGGTGCCTCCATAGGCTAAGATCTTATTACTTTTTGATAGGGGATCCTTCCGGATTAAACATAACAAAAATCCAACTTTTATTGGATTGACAGCCCATTTATCAAGTAAAGCTTGTACAAAGGTAGAGGATGCAGCAAAAGCACTACCAATGCAACTTAATCTAGCAACTTTTCCTAGATTGGAGGTTTGGCCCCTGAGATTTCAGATCTCACCACCCAGCGATTGTGATATTGCTCTTTATCTTTTTCCTGAGCATGAAAGGTTGTTGCCTCTTCTTTGATTTTACTGGATTATACTTATTCTTTAATCTTTCCCTTTTAGATCTTTCTAGCCTTTTTTATCATTTTATTCTTTAACAGGGATGAAAAGTTTTTTGATGACCTGCTAGATGACATAATCATGCATGACCAAGCTCTTAAGGCAGTATTAAACAATGTAGAGCTGTTGGTCTTCTCTTCTCGTGAGCTACCTCCAGAACATTGGCGTAAGCTTTACATAGTTGTTGCTGTATGGCTTTGTCCTGTATAATTAATTAGTTGATGTTGAGTATAAAGTTCTCTAATATCTTGAAGCAATCGTTTTACAGGTTGGTGCAGGAAATATTATTTATGGTGTGTGTTTAAACCAACGAAAAGTACTTCCCCACACAATAATGCCATAGTATGCGATGCCTCTTTACCTCACAATTAATGGTAGGATTCAAAATGGAATGACCTTTGGCAACTGAATTCGCATTTTTGGCATAAACAGAAAGTACACTTTTGCTTCCTACAAAATGTCAAGCTTGACAATCCAAGAGAGATGATAATGAGAGGGATGCAAGAAGCTGGCCTGATTCAATATCTTACATGAATCCCTTGTGCTAAACTGTTAGAGGTCCCTTGAAGTGCTACAAGAGATTACTACGGTCAAAGGAATTTGGAGATGTAAGAAGACAAAGTCCAAGCCAATTCCAGCAGTTTGAGCAGTTGTAGGGATTTTTTGCTGCTGCCAACAAATAAACCATGATGTAATTGCAGGAGGGTAATATTATCCTCCATTTGCTGTTTATGGTTCCTTATTTGTAGGGGATGGTTATCCTCTTCACTTTGTATTTAAAGTGCAACAATCAATAAAAGTTTTATCAGAAAATTTTCCAAAAAGTTTTTGACTATTTTAACTCGAGATTACAGGTTCTCTCTTAACGAATCTGTCAACAGAGGTAGAAGCTACGAAAAATCCCTCCTTTCCTTCCAGCCATAATCCTGATCCTTTGCTCTATAGACCCAGAACTTGATCCATCTGTATGGTAGGGATCACGGTTCGATTTCAAATCAGAATCGAACCAAAATCAAACCAGCACTAAACCATAGTTGACGGTTTTGGTTTCAAATCATAAACCGAAATTGTACATTTAAAGTTTGGTTTCGGTTCTTCATTTTTTTGAAACTGAAACCGGCAGTTTTTGGTTTAAAATCGGCTATTCCGGTTTGAAACAGTGAAAAACTTGTTTCTTAAAGAAATTTTCATCTTATTTTTTTTTGTTTTATTATAATTTTTTTAAAGTAACTTTTAATAATTTTTATTTAATTGGTTTAGTTTTCTTTAATAGTAATATTTATTATTATTATTTATTCAAGCTACCAATCTAAAAAAACATTTTAAAAAGTTTAAAATATATTATTTAATTTTGGTTCAAACCAGAAATAAAACTGAAATCGGAGGTTCCAAAACTATCTTAGAAACCACCTAAAAGCAGTTCGGTTTCGGTTCCACCTTGTCTATAACCGGAACCTGTGGTTTTGAAACTGAAACCGACAGTTCCGGAATTGTGTTCATCCATAATCTAAGGGCAATAACACTGTGGTATCAAAGTAGAGAGTTATAGGAGATTCAATTCAACCACAACTTGACCGTATCCTTACCATGTTTATGGAAGAACAAGCTGCTAACGAGGCTCGACAAGAAGCAGTGAACTCAAAGCTTGAAACTCTTGCTCGTGATATTTCTAATTCAAATTCTAGACCAACGGGAGAAGCCAGTAATAACTTTTGCTCTTCTAAAAACAAGGGAACAATGGGAGGCTCTAAGAGTTCAGCCATCTTTCCCAAATTCACCAAATTACATTTTCCTAGATTCAATGGTCAATATCCTTTAAGGTGGTTAAGCAGATGTGAATATAGTTTTAGATATCAACAGATTAATGAAGGAGAGAAAGTCAGTTTAGCCTCCTTCCATCTTAAGGGCAATGCTCAATTATGGTTCTTGCAATTGCTTAATGATATTCCCAATCCAACATGGGAGAAATTGAAGTAGTAGCACAATCTTCACTTTGGCTCACCTATTCGCTGCAACAAATTGCGGGAATTAGCCAAATTAAAGCAAGTCGGTTTGGTCTGAGATTATCAAGTGAAGTTTGAAAATTGGTCTCTCGAGCTGGAACTTTGATAGAAGACCAAAAGATTCAACTTTATATCAGTGGATTGTAGGAATATATTGTTGTGGCAATGGAGCTCCACCAACCTCCTGATTTAGCTACTGTCATGAGTATGTCTTGGTCGTATGAGAGAAAACCCCCTAATGGTCAATACCTCGCTAAACACCTCAATCGATTGAACTAAAAAGTTCTAGAATGATAAAAGGCTAAAGCATACAAAGATGGAAGAACGCCAAAGGAAGGGACTGTATTTTAATTGCGATGCGCCTTTCGTATGAGGGCACCAATGCAAAAGGTTATTTTGGATTGAACTTGAAGGAGATGAAAACGACATGGATATAAGCGATGACAGACCAGATATCGAGCTATCGCCGAAAATCTTATTAAATGCTATCATTGACATTCACAATCCACAAACCACGCATTTAGAAGGGGAGTGGAATGGCACACTTGTATTTGTTATAATTGATTATGGTAGCACTTATAGTTTTATGCTTGTGAAATGAAATAGGTTGATGCTCATGTTGATGAGCAAGATGGGTGTCGTGTTAAGGTGGAAAATGGTGAATAATTGTGTAGTCCTCGAATTGTCGAGGTGCTTCACTTAAATTGAGATCACATTTGCTTGTGAAATGAAATAGGTTGGATGCTCATGTTGATGAGCAAGGATGGGTGGTCGGTTTAAGGTGGAAAAATGGTGAATAATTTGTGCTAGTCCTCGAATTGTCGAGGGTGCTTTTCACTTAAATTGATGATCCACATCCTACCAATGGGTGATTTATTGTATATTTTTCCTTTAATGCAGTATTGAAATTGTTTTAGGAGTCCATATCGCTGCGCACCTTGGGACCCATTTTATGGGATTTTTTTCACTCATGATTAATGGCTTCCTCCAAGCCATGGCAACCAGATAGAGTTAAGGGAATTTTCAAACTTTCTATAACCAACGGAAGTTAAGATTTAATTGTTATCTAAAAACAAATAATGACAGTTCCAATGCCAAAATTTCTCTAGCAGAATTTTTTCAGCGATATATTTGAAAGAACAATGGAGCTTCTTGGTGATCACGAATTCCTTGTAGAACTAGAGTACCAAGCCCATTGGTGGTGCATCCCTAGTAGAAATTTTCACATGCTCAAAAGGATGAAATTTGAGAAGTAATGTATTGAAGGTATTGCAAATGGAGAATTGATGTTTGCGTTTTGGTGCGTGGACTACCGTGAACTAAATGTATCAGGACTTAGTCACTCACGTTGTTTTTTTCTCTCTAGTAATTCTGTATGTCAAAAATCAGTATGTGGTTCTTTGCGTTTGTGTGCGTGGGACTACCGTGAACTAAATGCAGAAACTGTGAAGGGTAAATTCCTAGATACCCTTTATAGATGAACTTGTGGAAGAACTTGGAGGGGCTAAATTTTCACGAAATTGGAATTTACGTTCGAGCTATCATCAAATGTCAAATGTTTCCACTAGATGTAAACAAAAAGGCATTTTGTAGTCCACCATGGGCATTCGAATTTTTACGTTTGTGCGTGGACTACCGTGAACTAAATGCTAGAACTGTGAAGGGTAAATTCCTAATACCCTTTATAGATGAACTTTTGGAAGAACTTGGAGGGGCTAAATTTTTCACGAAATTGGATTTACGTTCGAGCTATCATCAAATTCAAATGTTTCCACTAGATGTAAAAAAAAGGCATTTTGTATCCACCATGGGCACTTCGAATTTTTAGTCACGTTGTTCGGCCTCACTAATGCTCCTTCTACCTTCCAAGCATTGATAAATGATGTATTTCAACCTTATTTGAGAAAGTTTATTTTGGTATTTTTTGACAATATTCTTGTCCACAGCAGAACTCGAGTTGAACATATACATACCTAGGGCTAGTTTTTCAATTGCTCTCAGCCAACAACTTGTTCTTAAAAAAAAATCCAATTACTCTTTTACATAATCTCAGACTGCATATTTAGGTCATATTATCACATTAGCTGGAGTCCAAGCTGACCCTTCCAAAATTTTAGGCATGCTCAACTGGCCAAGACCAACAATAGTACGGGGAATACACGGGTTTTTGGGAGTTATTGGCTATTGCGACAAATTTGTCCAAAATTATAGAACTATTGCTGCTCCACTCAAAGTAATGTTGCGGTGCAATTCCTTCTAATGGACAGAAGCAGTAGTTCATGCCTTTGAAAGACTTAAAGAGCTGATGAGTACCACTCCAATTCTCGTCCTTTTAGACTTTAGTCAATCTTTAATTGTGGAGTGTGATGCATCTAATTCGAGTATAGGGGTTGTTCTCTTGCAAAATGGTCGACCTATCACCTATTTCAGTTGAGTGATGACAATACAAAACTATAATCTTCCAGCATATGAGAAAGGATTAATCGGACTAGTTAAGGCAATTAAACATTAGCATAATTATTTATGGGGTTGCACATTCTTCGTTCGCATCAACCATAACAATCTCAAATTTCCTTTGGATTAAAAAGTACTAATTGCCTTTTAACAAAGATGGTAGCAAAATATTGGGTTTTTCTTTTACAGTGGAATATAATATTGGGCAATTAAATATAGTGGTAGATGCTTTATCACCATGAGACAAGCTATCCCCAATACTTATGGCTATTTCAATGTGCTAATGGGGAATTTTTTAGGAGATCCAAAGAGAATAATAAGCTTCCACCGAAATTCAACATCAAATATCCCTTATTCAAGATAATAAAGCTGTTGATTTTTGGAATTTTAACAATGGGCTACTACTTTACGAAAACAGACTCCACTTGCCTAAAAATTCCCTTTTAATTAAGATCATCATGTCAGTACTTAATAACCAAGGCCATGAAGGGTAACAAAAAACTTTATTTAGAAGCATAAGAGATTTTTATTAGTTAGTTATGAAGACTCATGTCTGGGAGTTTGTTTGTGCCTATGATGTTTGTCAACGACATAAAATGAGATCCTTCTACCTGCCGGTCTCCTTCAACCATTGTTTATCTCTTTACAGATATGGTTTGACATCTCCTTGGATTTCATAGACGAATTACCAATATTTATATGAAAAAATGTATTGCTAGTGGTGGTTGAAAGTTTCTCAAACTTTGCTCACTTTCTGCCATTATCTCACCTGTACATAGCTGCAAGTGTGGCTAGAATATTTTTTTTTATCACATTTTCAAATTACATAGGTTGCCAGAAACTATGGTTAGTGATCATAATGTTACTTTTACAAGTTCTTTTTGGACGAAATTATTTCGTTTATGTGGCACTATATTTGCGTTCAGTTCGGTAATACCATCTGCAATTAGACGTCAATCGAAAGTGGTAAATAAAACAATTGAAATGTATCTTTAATGTTTCACCAGTGAACATCCTACCAAATACCTAGATTGGTTGTCATAGGCTGAGTATTGTTACAACACCAGCTACCATTCATCTTTTAATATCACTCCCTTTGATTTTATGTATGGCAAGTCATCCCCTCACCTCCCCCTCCCGCTTGCTCTCTTACACTCCTGGTAGTTCTTTGATTGATTTTGTCGATCAAGCTCTTCAAACCTAGGATGAGGTTTTGGCTTCTATTCGCCAGCATTTGTTAAGGGCTCAACAAAAAATGAAGAGGAATTATGATAATGTTAACTCAAAGAGAAGAAAATTGTAGAACTTAAAGAATAGAGACAGAAAAATAGCGTGGGTTTTTCCTTTTTCTCAAAGTTGAATACAAA